TTTTTTATATTTTTAGTTTTTATTTTATTTTATTTTTTTAATTTTTTATATTATTTTTATTTTTTTTAGATTTTTTATATTATTTTTTTTCAACTTTTTGGTTTTTTTTATTTTTAATTTTATTTTTTACTTTTGTTTATTTATTATACTTTCATATCACAATCATTACACAGATCACGTGATCCGTAATTATGTAATGTACTGTTAATAATTACATATCACATTATTTAGATATATGTATAATGTTATTTTTTATATATAATTTTTTTTATTATATATAAATTTTTTTATTAGTACTAATAACAAAACATTTGAAATACTAAGAGCAGGTGAGTGTTATAACGGTTTTGATAAGGGCGGGTGGGTGGCAAATGGTCTTGAAAAGGCTGGGTAGGTGGCAAATGGTCTTGAAATGACCGAGTAGGTAGGTAATTGTCTTGAAAAAGCCAGGTAGATGGAGAACTGTCTTGAAAAGGCCGAATAGGTGGGTAACGGTTTTGAAAAGGATGTATGTGTGAGTAACGTTTTTAAAAAGGCTGGGTGGGTGGGTAACTGTCTTGAAAATGACAGGTAGGTGTGTAACTGTCTTGAAAAGAGCAGGTGAGTAGGTAACTGTCTTTAAAACATTATGTTATATTATAAAATAACAGAAATCCCGAATATGCACTGTATAAGTGGGGCATATTCGGGATTTCTGTTAAAAAAAAAAACGTAACAGTGTGACAGTGTGCCTGAGAATTGCGCAATAGTATAGACAACAACAACAACATTGTGGTTGACAAAACTTTTTTTTAACAGAGATTCCGAATATGCTCCACTTACACAGGTCATATTTGGGATCTCTGTAAAAAAATAAACATAGTAAAAAAAAGTGTGACCAACAATCACGCTTTAGTAGAGGGAAGATTAGCAACTAAGTAATTAGTATTACAAGCTTAAGGCATTAAAATGTTTAAAGCATTAAAGTAACTATAACTAATAAATAATACAATAATAGAAATAATAATATACTAAAATAATAATATAATAATAATAATAATAGAAATCTATTTTATAACATTATAAAAAGAAAAAAAAATCTTTTATTATGAACTTTAAGTAATTAAACAAGCAGCTTACTTCTATTTAAAGTAATACAACAAGTTGCACTTAGATACTACAGTAATACCTCCCTAAGTGCACACTCTTAGAACTATTAGCAAGTGTGCACTTAAAGAGGATATGCATTTAAGGAGGTATTATAGATTAGCCAATCAAAATCTAGCCAATCAAAATCAAGAATAAATCAAAATCTATTAGTAATAGTAATAATATATTAACATTTAGCACCATATTACTACCTTTATTATGCTTGTAATTAAAGTTTATTCAATCACTCTTGCATGTTGACAAGAGTCAATGGTTCGAAAAGATAGAGAAGAACTAATCAGAGTTACATATATATAAAATGCAACTATTTTGAATAACTTTGTAAAAGAAGTGTTAAGACTTCTTTTTGACAAGTTTGATGTCAATTTATCATGCAATTAAAGCTGAATAACTGTTTAAACCTTTTAAAAAAATGTATTTGTGATCTTACTTCGAATACAGCTTACTAAATACTGTTATACATAAAGATGGCATCATGCACCATCTCAACACTACTTCTGCCCTCATATTACAGGATAAGAGGTATGAATCAGGATCAAAGAATGGATCAATTAGTTAAATTGCATAAATCGCAAGATTCTTTACCCTTCAGCATGGATTTACTTATTTCTTACCATGATACAAACATATTAAATCATAAACTTTCTATTTGCAGGTCAAAATCAAGGTCATTTTTAGGATTAGAAAAAAAAACAAAAATTATACTAAAATTTTGCAAGGCAGTTTTTTGGACAAAATTTCAAGTTATTAAAAAAATACAAACAAATTTTACAATACACCTTATCTTGTGATCTATATAAAAATTTTCTTTTTTGGTTTGTATCATAGTGGAAAATAAGGGTGTGCCTTCGGTACAATAGTCTTCAGCAACAAATTTCTCAACTCAACTTCTCTCATCACACATTGTAGTCTTCTGATTCCGCTATTTTCCTATTTAACAGCCAGCCTGCTTCAAGCAGGTGGGAAACTACCAGCTGATACTGCTTCTCACTTGTTCTACTTCTTGCTCATTCTATTGTTACGATGATACCTAGCACAATCCCACTAATTTTCTGGAAGCATATCATCATTTCAGTTTGATTTACTTAGCTAAAATTACTCATAATGTATTCTGCAGACTTCATCAAAATTTTAGCAGCATACCATAGATTTGTATAATAATTTAATAAACGTTTTATTGTTAGAATAAATAAGATATGGAAAAATTTAAAAAAAAAAAAATTTATACAAAATGCTCTGGTACTAAGTAAACCTACTTTCATCTCAATGTCAATAGAGCTCTAGAGTAGTTTCTTTAGTATCAGACCTAGTTCCAAAACACTTTTTGCTTCTTTACTTTTATGCAGAGTATATTGAAATGCACATTAATTCTGGATGCTAATTCTATTTAGAGGTTCTGATTTTCGAAATAATGCCCAAGCATTATTTCACGCTTATACAGTAATTGGCAAAAAATAACATCAGCATTTCAGTTAACAAACTTGCCAAACTATTTTTTTTTTTTTTTGCACTGGCTTTCAATAATTAACAAAATATCCTTTTATACACTATATTTATTTATTTGAATAAATAAACATCAACAATAATTTATTTGTATTCGGATATAAGCCATGACTTAAAGCCAACTAGATTTAAGTCAAAAATGTAGTTTAGAACCATGGTTAAAAATCAAATTAAGCCTAATTAATTTCAATTCGTGCTGAAGTTGGTTTTAAATAATTTATAAAATTTTATTTAAATAAAGAACTCAAGCCTATGGCTTATATTGATAATTGGACTTGCCAACTTATGACTCGAATAATTCGAGTTTATCATAATTCAAATCACGATTCATAAAATTTGCAAGTAAAAAAATTAACCTAATTGTTAACATTATCATAATAATAAATAGAATTAAAACATTTTTAGAGTTGGTTTAACAGATCGTAAATGTTTTTAAATTGGTATTTTCATATTTGTTACATTTTTATAAATTCTACTTTCCAATCTGCTTCAGAAAAATAAATAGTAAATATATGAGTACCATAATGGAAAGCTAGATTTCAGAATCATTTAATTTGTAAATTACGAGTAGAGGCGAATTCAATCTCTAATTCAAGCTATAGCCTTTAGTAAAACTAATCTATTCAAATAATATGAGTACTGCAAAGAACAAGCTCGTAATTCTTATAAAGAATTATAGGCTTTTTCTTTGCAGTGCTTATATCTCTAAAGACACAGCCCAATTAAATAATTTTTATGCCTATACTTAGAATTTATAGAATTTTGGTTCTGGCTATAGGCTATTAAATTTTTTTTATATAAAATGATCATATTTTTAAAAAAAAAATTCAAATCATAAATCCTTAAGTTTATAACAATGCCCAAAAGAACTACTCTTACAGATGCACAAAAACGTGAACTTTGCGAATGTGTTTGTGAAAACAAAATGACTTGATCCCAGTATGTCAATTGGATAGAAAAAAAATAGAGTGTTAGAGTTGATAAAAGTACTATTTCATGTATTTTAAAAACAACAGATGAATGACTTAACTCTGTGGTTATTAATCCTAATGCCAAGCATCATAGAGTAGTAACATACCCAGAACTTGACTACGCCCTAAGAGAGTTTGTGCTGATTTATCAGAATCAAACAATTCTAAGTGACGCAATACTTGTCGAAAAAGCCAAAGTACTTGCCAATGGCCTAGGAATTCCTGAGGATGCATTGCAGTTTTTTCACGATTGGCTTAGTAAGTTTAAAGAACGAAATAATATTCATCAACATAAACTTAAAGGAGAAGCTGAGTCTGCTGATGAAGCAGCTATATTACTGCCTTACCAACTCTAAGAAACAAATGCCTTAACTATCATATTGAGAGAATATATAACATAGATGAGACAGGGCTTTTTTATAGATATAAACTTATTAATATATTATGAATGTCATCAAAGAAAAATCTGCAATTCTAAAAAATAGATTATTATAAAATTCATAATATATTTTTAGAATTAAGGATTTTTCTTTGATAAAACTCATATTCTATTAACTACCACTAAGACTTGCTTTGTAGGTTAGAACCTGATTGATCATTGGCAACTCAATGCCTTTCCGGGTGTAAAGTAGACAGTGAACGTTTTTTAATTGTATTATGTGCAAACGCTGATGGCTCTCACAAAATGGTCCCTTTTGTAATTGGCAAATATGCCAAACCATGCTGTTTTAAAAATATTAACCTTAAAATTTTAGCTGTTATGTATAAAAATAGTGCCAAAGCATGGATGATTATTTCTCTTTTTCAAGTGTGGCTCAAAGAGTTTGATCGACAAGTTGGTTTAAAGTATTAGGATCAACACATGCTGCTGGTTCTCGCAATTGTTCAAGTCATAAGTTGGATGGTCTAACTTTACAATTCACTGATATTGTTTTTCTTCCTCCAAGAGTAACCTCTAGAATTCAGCAAATAAATGCTGGAATTATAATGAGCTTCAAAAGATATTACTGTTGCCTTCATGTTCGATAAGACTAAGTTTTTTTTTTTATAAATTAGGTTAGTAGGTTTTACTTTTTTTTTTTTTTTTTTAAAAAAAAAAAAAGCTGGATATTAGAGCATATGGAAAAGGGTGAGCATGCTGATGAGCTAAAAATAGATGTGCTGCAAGCTATACATTTTGTTATTCAAGGCTGAGACGAAGTCACTGCTAAAACAATTCATAACTGCTGGTGTCATATGAATATTCTTTCTATTGATACTAATGCAGAGTTGTGTAGTCTCATGGATAACATTCATCAAACCGAAGATCTGACACTTGATGATCTTACCAATGCACTTAAAGACCTTCATATTCATCTTACTAACCCGATGCCAGTCGAAGAATTTCTTTCTATTCCTAATGAAGATGTTGTCTACAAAGTTTCTAGAGATGACCAAGTTATTAAACAGCTTATAGAAACATTCAAGCCAGTCAATTTAAGTCATGATGATTCAGAGGAAGATGATAGTGTCGAAATTTTTCTAATTAGCATTAATGCAGCGATTACAAGTTTGGAAACTGTGTGTATGTTTTTGCTTCAACAATATGAAGAAGTAGATGAATATGTTAAGAGCATAAGGAAGGTTGAAAAATTTCTTAAAAAAAAAAAAACAAATCAGTTTCAGCAAAGTAAAATTAATAACTATTTTATAAAACAATAAATAATAATAAATACTCATCTTAAATATTCTATTGCTCTAAATTGAACAATTTTAAAAAAAGTAAGCGATACAAACAGAATTAATTGCAGGTATAGTAGTGTGTTATTTTTACTACCCTTGAGCATCAATCTTAATCTTGATAATCTTGCTAAGGCATCTAAATATTTTTTCTTGTTAATTTCATTTCTCCTTGGTTTGATTGATCTTGAGCGGCCTTATTAATTTTTTTCTAATTTGCTATGTATGTAACAAATAAATTAGATCACTCATATAAATAAATAAATAAAAATAAAGATCAAAAATTAATTGCAGTTTATTAACTGTTAATACGACCTGGGTTCGGAGCACAAATCACAATTCTTGAATGTGTACCAGGTTTGTGGCACAGACAAAATTCTTGAAATTTGTTTATGTTAGGTTAAGTGTCTATATTATAATCATATAATAGTAAGGTACATAGTAAAATTGTGCAAGAAAAACTTTTTATTAGAGTACTAAGAGTGGTTTCTTATGCAGATTTTCGATAAATAAATGATTTTTAAGAAAACGAAGAAATTTTCTGATTGTGTTAAGTTACACCTAATCTTAAGATCTGATTCATAGTTCAGGAAATCTGTGCCACAAACCTGGCATACATTCAAGAATTGCTACAAAATCTTTGGATGATGTAATCTGCTTTTTTTTCATGTTTTTTTCTAACCAGAATTTAAATGAAAACTTATAAATCACAACCGGAGCAGTTTATTATAAAAAACGGCAAATTTCCAACTGTTGGAAAGTTGGACTGGAACTTATATCATAAAATGGAATTCTCTAGTATTTTAAAATAGGATTTGTGCTCTGCCTGAGTTATACAATAGTAAATAATTGTGGTTTGACTAGTGAATACGATCTTGAATTTTATTGGCTAAAAATCACGTGTGTGCATTTATGGGGTGCATGTATAAGTCCAGGCCATAAAAACTTATGCACGTGCAGAACATAGAGGTGTGCACTTAGCACTAAGTCCCAAGCTCGGGACCAGGCTATAGTGTGCACTTAAAGAAGGTGTGCACTTAGGAAGGATGCACTTAGAAAGGTATTACTGTATTAAGGTAATCAGATAATGCTAGACTTAGATATTAGAAATATTTATATAGTTACAAATATAATTTCAAAATCTTAATAAAGTACTAGCATAATTGTTTATAATAATAATAATAATAATAATAATAAAATTTAAAAAATCTATATTAGATAATTATGAAAAATATAAAAATAATAATTACAGAAAATCATAAAAAATCATCAATTACAAAAAATTATATATAATCAAAAACTCTCTCTGCTGATCACTTGTACACAAAATCAACAGAAGCAAATTGAAAGTTTTCTCAAAAACGACTGTCTTAACAAACTTTACAGGCTTAAAAAAAAAGATAGAGCTTGTGTTAAAGATATAGCAAGTGAAAGAGCAAGTAAATAGGTTACTCAGTAGTAGAGTTAGAAGGAAAAAACACATTATTCGAAACTTGAAAAATAAATTTGGGAAATTTGCTGTGACTTGGAAATATAGATCTGTTGATCACTATGATACGTGAACAGACAAACAAAACAAACACATGTTTAGATAGATGCATACACAAACCTAATTAGGATAGTGAACAGCACACAATATAGAAAATTCGAGAATAAGCAAGGAACAAGCAAGAAATAATAATAACAGACAAAGATGATGAACATCACAAAAAGCCAAAAAGAAAGTCTAATATCAACATATATCAAAAGAGTATACTTAGCAGTAAATAGTATACATAACAAAGTGTTTTTTAATCAAGCAAGCAAGAATTATGTAACACCAAATAGAGAAGATAAGATTATTGTTATATTAACAGAACAAAATCCAACAGAAGTTGCTCTACTTCAGATTACAAGAGAAATAGTTATACAAGCAGAAAAAGAACTGCCAGAAAAAAAGATTAGAATAACTAGACAAAATAAAAATGAGTTGGTAGAAGAGTTTACAGCAAAACAAATACAAGATAAAGGAAAAGAAAAACAATAGCAAATTTCGATAAATAGAAATCATCAAGAAGAAACATATGAAGCAATACAGAAGGTTGGAAATAAGGAAATAAATAGAAGAAATACACAAAATGATATGGAAAGCTTGCAGACAACAGTAAGTATAAAGGTA